GCCCAGGACGAGGAGTGATGGCCTTAAACTAAACCTGAGGGTGGGAGAGCCCTGGAACAGCTGCCCAGGGAGGGTGTGGAGCCTCCTCTCTGGGGACATTCCAACCCCACCTGGAGGTGTCCCTGTGTCACCTGCTCTGGGTGATCTCCAGAGGTCCCTTCCAACCCCAGCTGGGATTCTGTTCTCCAGAGCAGCTGAGGAGGCTCCAAGGGCTGCACTTGGGGTTGGGATTTGGAGCTGCTTTTGACCGTGAATCATCTCCTTTTGTCCCTCAGGTGACGGAGATCGGCAAGGACGTCATCGGGCTGCGCATCAGCCCTCTGCAGTTCCGTTAGGAATTCCTGCCTGGGAGGGCAAATTCCACTCCCCCATCCCCACCTGTAGCCTCATCTCTCCCCCATAGCCTTGCCTGTGCTGTCCCACTTGATCTCCCCCCCCAGGAATGCTGTAGTGAGACTCTGCTTCCAGGTAGTAGCAGCTTTTCCTTGTTTCCAGACCGGCTGATGGGAAGTTTTTCTGGACCGTTGTCCTGTGGCAAATCTTTTCCAGAGGGGAAAGGGTGGCTCTGCCGAGCCCTGGTTACCACAGAGCACGTTGGAAACTGCTCCAGAGGCAGCAGCTGCCTCTGACACCCTTTAGGTCCTGAAAGAATTGCTTGGAAGAGCCAGGAATGGCTCTGGGAATGTGGCACTGTCGGGAACCGGGACGGTGCAAAGCCCATCCCAACTCCAGGGCAGTTCTCCCCCCTTGGAAATGGCATTGGCTCAACATTTGTGGTCGTGGTGACTCTTTGTTTTGTTGCCCTGGTAACATTTCTCAAACTAATCAGCTTCACTCATGAATAAAGTAATTAAACCACCTTGATCTTCCAGTTCTGTAGCTCAGTTGGTTTTACCGAGACGCAGGAGGTGACACTGAATTTCCTCTTCCCACCTTTCCCCCCTTCCCCCTCCTTTGAATGCTTGGAAGGTTGAGAAGTTTCCAGAAGGTGGGGCTGGAGCAGCAGGAGAAGGGTCTGGAGAACTCCTGAGGGAGCTGGGGGGGCTCATCCTGGAGAAAAGGAGGCTCAGGGGGGACCTTCTGGCTCTGGAATTCCCTGACAGGAGGGGGGAACCGGGTGAGGGTCAGAATCTTCTCCCAGGTGATGACACAGGACAAGAGGAAACGGCCTCAAGCTGTGCCAGGGGAGGGTCAGGTTGGCCATGAGGAGGAATTTCCCCCTGGAAAGGGTGTTCAGGCCTTGGCAGGGGCTGCCCAGGGAGGTGGGGGAGTGCCCAGCCCTGGAGGTGTCCAGGGAAGGACTGGCTGTGGCACTGAGTGCTCTGGGCTGGGGCCAAGGTGGGGATGGGGCACAGGGGGGACTTGCTGACCTTGGAGGGCTTTTCCATCCTCAGGGATTCTGGGATCCTGCTCCCTCTGGGGCTGCTTTCCCGGTGCTGAAACAAAACCTTACACTCGGATATAAAACCTTTTATTTTATCCATAAAAAGGAAGGAAGGAAGGAAGGAAAGGGGATGTCTCCGTCTTGGTGCTTCCAGTTGTGCCTGGGAATGTTCACAGTGGAGGGGGAGATGTGGCCCCCCCAGGGCCCCCCTACGGGCCGGGGGCCTTCACCACCAGGCTGTTGTGACAGGCCACGGCGATGCCCCCGATGAGGTTCAGGAACTCCTGGAAGTCCAGCTGCCCGTCGCTGTTCAGGTCCAGCTTCTTCATCATCCTGTCCACGACCCCTGGATCCTTCTGGTTCTGCGAGAGAGCTGGGAATGGAGCCCCCTGCCCCGAGGCTGGACCCCCCCACACTGCACCCGGTGAGCTCGTGGGATCCCGGGATGGGTCGGGTCGGGAGGGACCTCAAAGCTCAGCAGGGACACCCCCCCCAGAGCAGGTTCCTCCTCCAAACCTCATCCCACCTTGGGAGATTCCAGGGGGACGGGAACACCCCCAGCTCCTCGGGGCGAGCTGGATCTGCTCCCCCCCGGGCAGGGCTGCTCACCTTCGTGAAGGCGGCCAGCTCGGTGTTCATGAAGGCCAGGAATTCCCGCTTGGACAGGGTGCAGTTGTCCCCCTCCCGGCCGGCGTAGCGCTGGAACACGGCCAGCAGGGACTCGATGCAGCGCTCCGTCTCCGTGGGCTGCGGGAACCAGGGCAGGGTTGGGAGCCCCGGGTGTCACCCCGGATCCATCCCGGGAACCAGGGCAGGGTTGGGAGCCCCGGGTGTCACCCCGGATCCATCCCGGGTGTCACCCCGGATCCATCCCGGGAACCAGGGCAGGGTTGGGAGCCCCGGGTGTCACCCCGGATCCATCCCGGGAGCAGGGCAGGGTTGGGAGCCCCGGGTGTCACCCCAGGTCCATCCCGGGAACCAGGGCAGGGTTGGGAGCCCCGGGTGTCACCCCGGATCCATCCCGGGAGCAGGGCAGGGTTGGGAGCCCCGGGTGTCACCCTGGATCCATCCCGGGAGCAGGGCAGGGTTGGGAGCCCCGGTTCACCCTGGCATATTTGGGAGCCCCAGGTTCACCCTGGCATATTTGGGAGCCCCGGGTGTCACCCCGGATCCATCCCAGGAGCAGGGCAGGGCTGGGGGGTCCTCCTCTGCCCAGCCTGTCCGGCCGCATTTTTCCCTGGAATTCGCTTCTCCGCCGCCCTGGCACGGGAAGGACCCGGGGAGGGGCAGGTGGAAAATCCCCCGGGGGGTGTCGGCTCCCATCGGAGGAGTGGCTTTGGACGGGGAAGAGCTTGTGGCGCAACCAGGCCTGGCCGAGGCTGCTTTTCTGGAGAGATAAACCCGTTCCACCCCCTCTCCCCTCCCCCGGCCCCGCCTGAGCCCCGGAGAAACTGAGTCAGGAGAGAAAAATTCCAGTGGCCTCCTGGATCTCCTCCCTCTGGGCAGGGCTGGAGCGGGGCTGGAGCGGGGCTGGAGCAGGGCTGGCCGGGGGCTCCTCCCGCGGGGATGGACAGGGCAAGGCGAGGAGATGGAGAGGAGAGGAGGGAATGTGGGGCTTTTCCCGCTTCCAGAGCCTCCAGTTTCTAGGGAAGGGCAGTGCAGGGAGAGCCGGGAGGGAATCCCGCCCTTCCCATCCCAATCTCGGCTCCCGGGGCCTCCCTGCCACATCCTGCCCTTCCCGAGGCTCAATTCAGCCTTTTTTTGGTTAATTTGAGAGGTGCAACTTCCTTCCACCCTCAGCTCTTGGTTCCTCTTCCCCCTTCCCAGTGCTCGGGGGGGGTGGCAGAGCCCCAAGCCTGGTTATGGGCATGGAAAGAGTGGGAAAAGGGAGGGGAACAACACAAATGCCACTCCTTAGACCCCCCCAGCCTGCAGGGACCCTCTGCCCTCTGTCTCTGCCCACTCTTCCCATGCCCAGGCTCCCTCTCCTTCAGGATTTGGAGCCCGAGCTCAGCCTTGGCCCCACCTGCTCTCTCCAGAGCCAAACCCGTCTGGCCTCAGCTCGGGGGCTCTTTGCAGGAAAAACTCCTCTGCCGTGCCCTGTGGGACCCCCTCCCTGTCCCCACGCCCGCAGGGACCCCCTGCCCTCCTCTCTGCCCCCTTCCCACGCCCAGGCCCCTTCCCCAGCAGAGCCCAGCTCAGCCTTGGCACCGTCCGCTCTCTCCGGAGCCAAACACGTCTCGCTCCGGCTCTGGCAGGAAAAGCTGCTCTGCTGCCCCGTCCCCCCCCCAGGGGGGGAACCCCCTCTCCGTGCCCATCCCGGGGGTCCCGGCTCGCTCACCATGGCTGGGCTGGGAGGAGGCTCCTCTCTGGGCACGGCCGGGTGGGATGTGACGGATCCGGAGCGGGATCGGGGCCCCGGGGAGTGTCCGGGCGCGGCCCCCGCCCAGCCCAGCCCAGCCCAGCCCCAGCCCGGTTGGGCAATCCCGGCCCTAACGGCAGATCCGGGCCTGCCCACGCTCCCGCCTTCGCCTCAGGAATGTGCCGGGCCCCTCCTTGGGCTCTCCCCAGTTTTGCTCCTCGCAGTTATTCACGCTCAGCTTTTCTCCTCCTCGTCCGTTTTCGCCCCCCCCGGTCCTTGGGAACGTTCCTGTCAGTCCCTTCCTCCAGTCCTCAGGGCTCAGCTCCCCCTGAATCACAGGGAAATCTGTTCCCCCCCCAGAGCTTCGAGGGGATCCTGGAGCAGAGAGGTAACACAGGAGCCAGGATGTGTCCTGGGATCTGGGACAGCTCTTTGGGAATTCCTGTGGGAAGCAGCAAGGAACCGTGTCCGAGATATTTTCCTTTCTAGCCCTGATTTTCTGCCCCCAACTCTTTTCTTTCCCCCACATACAGGGAAAAAAGCACCTCCTCCCACAGCCCAGCCCCTCCTGGACTGAGTTTTCCAAACCTGGGAGCCGAGGGCAGGAAAACTCCCGCGTTTTACAAACTCCCCTTGGCAAAAGCCGAGCAGGAAAGCGGCATTTCCTCCTCTGCAGGAGCAGATCCCGGAGGAGCCGTGGCCGGGGGAGGATCCGGGGCCGTTCCTGGCAGCTGCTGGGGGGGTTTGCAGGCCAGGCCAGGCCCCGGTCGCAGACACACCATCTGTGCTGCCGTATGTTTGTCACCCCGACGTGTGACCGTCGCGTGCGCCGAGGGGACGTCGCCGGGAGCGGCTCCGAGTGCTCTGGGCTGGGACGGACCCTCGGGAATCCCTCTGGCACCGGCTTGGAGGAGGATGTGGGCTCATAGCAGGGGCTTGGTGGGATTTCCAGTGGCCCCCGCCTGCGGGAAGCACCCGGGATCACAAGGAATGTGTGATGTGAACCGGGAACGTGTGATGTGAACCAGGAATATGTGATGATCCCACCCGGGAATATGTGATCATCCCACCCGGGAATGTGTGATGATCCCACCCGGGAACATGTGGCCCCTCCCAGATCCTTGAAAAGCGGTGGAAGGATGAAGGCTGGCACCTCTCAGTGCAGTCAGCAGCTGTTTATTCTGATTTTTCATGCAATACATCAACGTGAAGAAGAAGAAGAACCCCCCACCCACCACCCACCACCACCCTGAGGTGACCTCGACATCACTCGGCTGCTCCAAACCCTCCCCGAGGCTGGAACTGGGATTCTGCTCGGCTGGATTTGGTGTAATAGTCCACAAAAGTGGGATTTTTCCCGGCTTTGAGGACTTCCAGGCCCCAGAATGAGGATGGTTGAGCTACTGGGATTTTTTTGGCGTTGCAGAGCAGAAGCTGGTGAGAACCAGCCATGGGGAGACGTGAGCAGAGGGAGGTGCAGAGTGGTCCCACCACAGGGTGGAAGAGAGGACAGAGAGACCCAAGGACAGAGAGACCCAAGGACTCCAATTAGAGCAGAAAAAGTGACTAAATGCTGTATTTTGGTGGAGAAGCATCACGCAGGGAAGCAGATCCGGAGGTAACTCGAGGATTTGTTACATGGAAAACCCCCCAAACCCACTTGACACCCTCTCGAGGCACCTCATGAACCCTTCTGAGCCGATCACATCCTGAACCAAAACAGGGCACAGACGATCCTCAAAAAGACCCGGGGAAGCCCCACCAGCTTCCCCCCCTAAGATGCTTTGGCTCCATCCCCCGCGGGACCGCCCGGTTCCTCCCGGGAGCTCGGCAGCCCGGGGGTCCCCTGGCTCTGCTTGGTGCCAGGACGCGGCTCCTCCTCCCGTGCCAGTTGGGCATCCCCCCCTTGCCGGGGGCTCCTCTTGCAGGTCTCCTCCTGGCAGCTCTTTTCCGGGGGGAGAAGCTCCACGTCCTGGCGGGCGCGGCCGGTTCCTTCTCTCCGGGGCGCGCGGGGACGGCTCCCGTCGGCGTCGGGAGCCTGGAGCAGAGGTGGGCAACTCTTGGCCTTCCTGTCCTCGTGCTCCCTCACCTGGCAGCTGGATCCTGGCTCCTGGGGGACCTTCTCCCTGGTGGCTCTCGATCCATCTCCCTGGGGCTGATTCTTTTCCGTGTCGGGGACCTCCTTGGTCTTCGCCCTGCAAGGGTCGCCTTTAACAGCCTCGGGCTGGGGGGCAGCAGCCTGGGGAGCTCCTTCCTTCCCCCCCGCTCCGGCTCTCTCCCCACCGAGCTCCCTTGTGTTTTCCTGGCAGCTGGAAGGCGGCACTTGGAGCTCCCCAGGTTCCCTCTGGTCCCCCCGGGGTGGTGGCTCGGGGCGGTGGCTCCTGTCGCAGGGCACGGTCGGTGGCTTGGCGGACACGAAGCACTTCCTGACGCAGAGGGGCCGGCCCGGCTCGCCGGGCTGCTGGCAGACGATCTCGTAGGTGGCAGCGCTGGGGTCTCTCCCGTTCTGGATCACGTGGACCAGGTAGGCGATGGTTTGGGGGTCGCAGGGCTGGGGCACCACTCGCACCTCCGGGCGCTCCGCGGGGTCAGCGGGGACGTAGCGAACCCTCAGGTCGCTCACGGGCCCTTCCTCTCCCGGGGGGAAGAGGTCCCTGTTGTCCACCTCCACGGTTTGGAAGAGGCTTCGTCCTTCATCCACCTCCTGTTCTTCTTCGAGGACCTCGAGTGTGGTTTCATTGCGGGTCTCTCTCCGGTCGATGGTGACCCCTCTCTCCTCCCTGTCCCGTGTCTGGCGGCTGCGGCGCTCAGAGACCTCCACCTCCAGCTCCTGTTGTTGATCGATCCTCCTCTCCAGCACAGGCTCTTCTCTGTCTCTTCTCCTGCAAACCCTCCTCTCTTCCTCTTCACGGGGACGTTCCCTCCTTCTGAGCTCCTCCCGTGGCTCCAGTTCACGGATCTCTCTGTGGATTTTCACATCAGCTTCTGCTGCTGCTGCTCTGGTGTCTCTTGTCCTTTCGTACCTCACTGACTCACGTTCTCTCCTTCCATCCTCTTCCAGCTCCCGGGTCTCTCTTTCCTCTCTGTCCCGTGTCTGGCGGCTGCGGCGCTCAGAGACCTCCACCTCCAGCTCCTGTTGTTGATCGATCCTCCGCTCCAGAATGGGCTCTTTCTTACGTCTCTGTTCTTCTTCTTCTCGCCTGCAGAAACACTCCTCTCTTCTTCCACTTCTCCTTTCACGTTCTCTCCTTCTGAGCTCCTCCCGTGGCTCCAGTTCACGGATCTCTCTGTGGATTTTCACATCAGCTTCTGCTGCGGCTGCTCTGGTGTCTCTTGTCCTTTCGTACCTCACTGACTCACGTTCTCTCCTTCCATCATCTTCCAGCTCCCGTGTCTCTCTCTGGTCGATGGTGACCCCTCTTTCCTCTCTGTCCCGTGTCTGGCGGCTGCGGCGCTCAGAGACCTCCAGCTCCAGCTCCCTCTGGTGATCGATCCTCCTCTCCAGAATGGGCTCTTCTCTGTCTCTTCTCCTGCAAACCCTCCTCTCTTCCACTTCTCTGTCACGTTCTCTCCTTCTGAGCTCCTCCCGTGGCTCCAGTTCACGAATCTCTCTGTGGATTTTCACATCAGCTTCTGCTGCTGCTGCTGCTCTGGTGTCTCTTGTCCTTTCGTACCTCACTGACTCACGTTCTCTCCTTCCATCCTCTTCCAGCTCCCGGGTCTCTCTCTGGTCAATGATGACCCCTCTCTCCCCCCTGTCCCGTGTCTGGCGGCTGCGGCGCTCAGAGACCTCCACCTCCAGCTCCCTCTGGCGATCGATCCTCTGCTCCAGCACAGGCGCTTCCCTCTCTCTTCCCCGGCAAATCCTTCTCTCTT